GCCCCACATGCAATTTACTATTCACGTAAAAGAAAAATAAACATTTACAATTACGCAAATTCATAAATCATCTTTCAAGGTTTATTACATATTTCACTAAAAGTAAATATGCCCGGGGTCGGTGTTACAATTACAATTGATGAAAAACAAAATTCTAAATCTACTGGCCTTCCCTAGTATCTTCTTCATCACCTTCCTCCTCATCCGAATCAGTGGGGGGATCAGGCTCTCTCCTCGCTTCACGATCAGCAACCCGTTGTAAGTCCCTTTGATATTTGTCAAATTGGGCTTCAACGATAGGCACCTGGGGAAGATCAGTAAGCTCGACCGGCCTCCCTAGCATCTCTTGCAGCTTCGCCACAAAGGGGGCTAGGATATGCTGGCAGCCCATAACATAAAGATATCGGATCAGGGAGTCATTGAATTCCTTGCCCCTTGGATCCTGGTCGAGCAGCTTAACCCCCTCGCTGCGGCGGAAATCACCCGTGGAGAATCGATCAAGATAAGCACCGAAGGTGGCCGGGAGTTCCTGCTGCGCATAATCTTTCTTCAGGGCAGCAAACTCCTCAGACCCTTTGAATGCCTCTCGGACGGCGGACAGATCAACCTTCACCTCAGCAGGGTCGTCCGGGATACGGGGAGCGCTCTCTTCAAACTTCACCAAAGCAGCTTCAGCAGCGTGAACTTTGGCTTGGAAGGCCCCGAGCTGAACCCTGAGCTCACCAAGCTCTGACTCGAGGCGTCTCTTCTCCTCCACGGAGGCCTTCCGTTCGGTCTCCAAAGCGGCAAAGGCGGCAGCCGCATTCTGCTCCGCAGAAGTCTGAGCGACGATCAGGTCCCGCTCTTTAGTTAGTCGAGCCTCCTTCAGCTGCAGACTGTAGAGCCCAACCTGCAGAATGTCATTCGAGAAATGAGATGGTGTGGAACAGAATTTAAACTATGAGAAAACTATAAGGAAAAAGTGAGATACCTTCAGAGCTGCCAAAGCCAAGCATTCTTCGGATTGCTCGATCGGCATCCTAGGGACGACAAAGTTGTTGAACCACGAAGAAGTGGACCAAATCTGGCTTACAGGAGAACCAGCTTTCTCCAACATTTCATGAATTGGATCCGCCAGAGAGATCCGTTTGACCTGCGTAGAATGGTGGACAGTGTTGGTATCACCTGCAGTCATGTTAGTCTCCTGAGCAGCCTGGAAATGCTCAGGGAATTGATGCAGCTGATCAGATCCGAACCGATCATCGATCAGCATGGCATCAAATTGGTCCTGATGAGGGACCTGTTGAATTGGTTGGGGCTCCTGAACGGGTTGAGAAGACCCGGCATCCTGAGCAATGGTGGTGGAAGGATTGGGTTGAGGAGTCTTCCTTGACTTCTTCTGTTTCCCGACCCCACTGGCTGCAAGAACTCGGCTATTGTCCATAGGTGCGTCTAGATTGGGAGCTAGAAAATAACAAAGGAAAATGTTAGTACCGAGCGGCCTTATCATGTGGGAAACAAAAAAGAAGAGAACGTTTCTCGCACGGGAAGGACCGTCCGGACCATGGCACTTGATTTCTCAAAACAAGTAAACCCAAGAGAACGGGCAGTACCTATCCCGGCTTCGATAAGCCGATCTGGAGTCAAGTAACTCATGATATCTACACATTTTTCCTTCTCCACAGCGAACACATCCTTGTAAATTTCCTCAGTAAGGACTGGATCGGGAGATTTGTGAGGGAAGGCATTCCATTTGCGGGGGATCAGGCCGTCCGGGACAGACACAAAAAAGAACTGATCTTTCCACCCCTTGATTGAAGTCGGATTGCCCTTAAACAGGACATGTCCCGTTCGGGCACTATTAACCAAATATCCATGTGTTTGTTGGGGGGGCACTCTTTAAAAAATTGGTGAAATAAGTCTAGGGTCGGCAGGGCACCGGCATCTCTACAACGGCAAATAAAGCCCTCCATTGCCCGATAGGAGTTCGGCATGACTTGGGCCGGTACAATTTCGTAGAAATTAAAAAATGAAACGAAAAAAGAATGTAATGGAAACCTAAGCCCGACCTTAACTGAATCGAAGTGGACTACAACCATCCCAGGGGTATGGCGCATTGGGTGAAGCCCAGCCCGCAATCGGAAGTCCACTGGGTCTGGGATTAGGGCCGGAATTTCGGCCGTGTTGTGAGAAGTCAGTTTTTGCCGCCTCTCCCTAATCAGTCTTAGGTCAAGCGTGTGACGAGGGAAATCAATGGGATGTCTGGCCGCCATGGAAGTCAGTTCATCATCAGACTTGGTGTCATCGGAATCTTCAATGGAGGAAGAAGAATTGCCGGAGGAATCCTCCGTCTCCGCCCTAATCTCCGCCGTCGCCACATTGGAGCCCTCAACAAAAGGGACGGTGATAATCTCCACATCTTGGTCTTCCCTATGGGAAGCCATTTCCGAATCAGAACACAGTCGAGAACTCATAACGATCGGATCAAAGAAGAGAGGGATTTAAAGGGATGAGAAGTACCTGGACACGAAAAGCTTGAAAGGATTGAGAGAAAAGGCAGAGTAAAAGCACGAAGAGATTGAAAATTCGAAACCCAGATTTGAGGAGTTAAAGGCTAATTTATAGCCTTACAATCGCCGTATCAAAGACCAATCAAATAGAGACACGTCAATGGAACTATTTGAAATAACACGTGTCACATGGAAGATCAAAGATCAACAATCATGACGAATATGGGAAAACTCAAACGACAGCCGTCAAATCACAGTATGGGGAGCTGACCACTTCTGTACCCCGATCGCCATTCGGCAGTTATATTATGGCACTTATACTTCCTAATGCACTCACTGTCATTCGAGACATCGGAAGTGGGGGACTCGTGTTTGGATATTGACCCGGGGGCCCAATACCTGGATTAAAGGCCCAGGACATCCAGCCCAAACAACGAGTCCACTACCTTAGGATAAGTAGGCCCAGTGAGATATTCATATCGAACGAGGTTCGGGCCAAGTAAAGGCTGGCCCAGAAAACAGACATACCGAACGGGGTTCGGATCATACATTATACTTGGGCCAAATCAACAATGTTTTACAGAGCCCATTATCCCGTTCGGGCAACGAACAACCAGCAGGTGGCCAGCTGCAATTAATGTCAGATTGTGACATCATCAAATGGAGGGCATGGGTGATCAAGTCGGTGGAACATCGGCCAATCAGCATAAAGTGTCCCATACTCTCTATTAGTATAAATAGAAGGTTTAATATCATTGTAAGAGTTAGCATTTTAATACTCAAGCCCTAGAATAGCCTTATTACTCTTGTTTCTTGTATTAAGCATCAATCAGACGTACCGTTCGGGTAATTTCCTTGTAATCAAACAGGTCAATTAATACAAGTGGGCTTTTGAGCATTCGATTATCCAACTTTTATATTTCTTTTACATACCGAATTATTGTCTATTTCCTGATATATCCAAAGTCTGTGTTGGGCTTTCGGATCTACGGGATTAAATCTCAACAACGTTCATTTAGATATATTTGTTATGCGTAAGTGTAGGGAAGTTGAAGCTTCGATTGATCGTTGCCGTGTTTCACCGGCAAACTCAAAGCCTTTAAAGTCTGATTGCATCTATTTTCAAGATATATTTTATCAGTTTAGAATTTGTCTCAGGGAAGCAAAGACAAGGTAATTTTTACTATACTTAATGCATTGATTATTGGCTCTGCGTTTTTGGTACGAGGAAGGTGAAACTCCTGCCATGGATCAAGTTATACTTTTTTCAAGTTTAATTACACTACACTCTCATTATATCATTATCCCAACCCTGTATAGTCTGTCTTAAGATATGTTATTTCCAAATAGCATATATCTAAATAAAGTAAACATAAAAAATGACTCATTTTTTCTGAATCTCCATTTCAGTTTTTTTTTTTTTTACTTTTAATGTCTAGAAAATAATTAGTTTATGTCTAGAAATCAATGAATTTATTTTAGTAAAAGCTATTGGGATGATTTCACAGGGACACACACAAAAGTTAATGGTGGTACCATTGTAAAGGTAGCTCCGGATACAACTACTCTATTTCTAGGTGTTAACAATTCATTACTTGTACAACCAATAGTTCCCAAAGAGAGAACAGGTTTCTATAGAGAATGAGCAACTGGAGTGTATTCACCTCCCCAATATGCAATAGCTCAGGACATAATGATATAAATCCACTTAATACCAGTTCTTTCAGTTACTCTAGTTGAAATTTCAAAAACATCCCATGCATGTTCTATCTCTTCTTGTTTTGTTAAATATTATAATCATTTATTTAGATGAAAAAGTTTGATGATGTCATTTTAGTTTTCAGGACTTATTTGAGATTTCATATATTCTGGTGCAGACAATATATGACACCATTACATATTCCGTGAACAATTTTGAAGGAACAATAGGTTATATTTTTAGAGTTAACATCTTTTTTAAGGAAGTGGACATAATTAATTAGATTGAATAATTGATAGGTGGTTTCAATTATGTAGAGAAATGTTTACTATATCTAGTGTTCATATAATCATATTTCATAGGTGAAAGTTTCACCTAGTACTTCATATTTTACTGTATGATGGCGGTCTGACTCACTTCAAACCAGTAAACATTTTCCAGTTTTGAAGTTTTGAGTTTTGACTGCACTTTGGTGTGTTTACCTCTTTTTTTGTCTATATTGCATTAGAATTAAAGTTGCCACACCGTCTCAATCATAACCCCATCATCATACATACTAGATACTACCTCCGTCCCCCTGTTATTGTTCCATTGTTCCATTGCGGTTTACGATGCTTGACTGGCGATAAAGCAAACAGATCCCTGTCCGCACTAGAATTATTTTTAGAAATTTTTTTTTGCATATTCAGAAACTACATTAAAAGTTTTATAAAGTCGTAAAAACCAGAATCAAATTTGATAAAAATTTGATAAATAAAGTAAGAGATTAAGAGTGATTTGTGTTGACCAAGTGAATAGGAAATGAGACAATAATAGGGGGACGGAGGGAGTATCACCATTAAAATACCAAGAAATTGCTCAAAATAAGACTAAAACATGAACACAATGCTAAAACATAACTAAGCATGTCTTCTCCCTAAAATATGATTTAGTTACTCCTACTAAAAGAATAAAATACCATCTAAACTACGCTACATACTACACTAAGTGCAAAAATGTCATCCTCATCGTCATCTCCGTTGGAAATTTAGGAACTTCACAGATGCAGCAAAGACAGAAAAGAAGAGGATGCTGAACCCGACAAGTATCAGGGCCGACCACTCAATCATCCCCGGCCCATACCCAAGACTGACAAGCAGATACTCTTTCACCGTACCTTTGTACCCTGGACCCCCCACCTCTGTTTCTACATCCCCAAGTTGAGACGAGATGATCCCCCGCAGGCTCCACGAGATTGGGGAGATGTAGTACAACCACATCCACCACCCAGGAATGCTCTATCAATCAACACATAATTAAAGGCAATACGTTTCATCAAAGATCAAAGAATTGAAAGTAACAAACATAAATCGAAATTCAATATATGCACCACACGTTTAGCCCAACATTTAACTTTGCATTCCATGTCTTATTTTCTTTGGTTTTGCTCCCCAAAAACATCTTAAAGTGGGTGTAAAGTCAAATGCTCAAGTAAACATAAAATGAAAATACCAAAAAAAAATCATTAAACTTCGGACACCATGTTTATCCTCATATTTGACTTTGCCTTTCTTTTTGGAGTTCTCTGGGGCTCAAAGTAAAAGATAACAAAATGTGTACGCAAAGTTAAATATTGCGAAAAACATGGGGTACTAAAGCCAAATTTCATTAAAAGGAGAGAATAGTTGAGATAAAAGTGGAAGAAGTTACAGGTTTAGGAACAAGAAAGCCAGATAGAAGATTCCACAATGAGTAGAATGCGGAGGACAGGACGGCTGCAGTCTGTTGGTTTGATGTGAGCCCGACCGCCATCATACCGTAAAATGTGAAGTAGGTGAAAGTAAGAAACATGAACACTAGATAGAGTAAAAACTTCTCTGCAAAATTGAAAACACCAGTGAATCTAATTTCTTATGTTAACTTCTTAAAAAAATCATATTTTTAATTCCATAAAAACACACCTATTGTCCTTTCAAAGTTGATCATGAAATATGTAATGATGCCATAGATTATTGTCTGCGCTAGAATATATGGAATCTCAACCAGGCCCTGAAAAATAAATGACATCAAACTTTATCAAGATTGTTGCTTATCATGTTTAACTAAAAAAACGAACGAGGTATAACTTGCATGAGATGCTTTTGAACTTTCAGTAAAGTAATTGAAATTCAGTACTAAGTGACTGTCATTATGTCCTGACCTGAGCGGCTGCATATGGGAGAGATGAATACATCCCAGCTGCTCTTTCTCGGTAGAAAACTGTTCTCTCTATAGAAACTATTGGTTGTACAGATGATGAATTGTTGACCCCTAGAAATAAAGCAGCTGTATACAGAGCTCCCATTACCACCATTAAATTTTGTGTTGAGTCCCTGTGAAATCATCGACATAGCTTATGTAAGACCGTCATGATTGCAACAAAGCCGTCGCCTGATCCAGATTAATCACCAATAGGCGCTAGGCCCATAGCGGCCACCTATCCAGTAGGGGAATCTAATTTCTTTTACAACATTGAGAGTTCATTTTTAAATTTCACAGGAAAGTAATTTTCTGCAAAGCCCCTCCATTTTCAAATAGCAGATCAGAGTAAAAATCCTGGGTTCTAAGGTGATAATTAGTTTTGTCATCGACTTACAAACATAATCCTGTAAACCCACTGACTTCTAGACATAAAAAGTAATAATAAAAAGAAGCAAATATGGAGGATAACCGAGTCTTTTTGCTAAGTTTTACTTTTTTAGTTCATTTGCGAGCTGGAGCTTACATATACAGTTTTTGGAAATCACAGTTCATATAATACAGAGCCATATAATGAGTGTATAATACAGACTTTAATGAGTGTGTAGTGGAACTGCAGTTGAAAAATAAGTGTAGTTCTATAGCAGGGGAGTTACCTTTTCGATCCAACATCCCAGAATACAGAGCCAATGATGAGTGCACTCAACAGAGTGAAAAAAATCCGCACTGCATTGTATGCAGGACTTCTCCAGTATACAGTGTTTTGCTTCCACAGACAGATTCTAAACTGAGAGAATGTGTCTTGAGAATAGATCGAGTCAAATTTTAAAGGTTCTGAATTGGCAGGTGGAACACTGAAACGCTCAATCGAAGCTTCAACTTCTCTACACAGGCATAGAAACACATTTAAATGAATGGAATGCAAAAAAGTCTAATAGAGAACTAGCAGCAGCAAATCGTGTTTTTTATTATTACTAAGAGTAGATCACCTGTACTGTTCGGAATTTCTATATAATTCTGCAAAGTCTTGACCTATTCTCTCTTCAGCAGCAGGGGTAGTGATCTCAAGCATCCAAGTTGCAGGGTTGTAACTAGGAGGGATTGGTGGAGTACCGGGCATACTCTACATATTTTAGGACAAGTGATTCACTCTCATTAGGAAATTTACAATTTGATACGGAGCATTAATGCATGCAAGTGCGGTAATACAAAGTTTAGGACAAGTGAATCATTCTCATTAGAAAAAAGCAAGTGCTGTAGAAAAGTAAAAAACAAAGAATGGAAGCAAGAGTATGCCTGAAAGTAGTTTATCATAGTTTGTGACTGCTGCCCGAGCTTTCCACCATATATCATTTGTCCACCTCGTTTCATAAGAAGCAGCTACACTTTGAAACATTGTGTAAGAACACTACCCATAACACATTTACTGAAGAGTGACATAATTTCCTCCTTTACTTAAGGGCTCATTAAGAAAACAGGAAATGCAATGCAAAGAAAATAAGGAGGAAGTTTGGAATTAAAAAGAAGTGGCTGAAGGGGTGGGCGTTTGCTTCAATCTGTTCAAATTAATTTATTTACATGTGTCAATCATGTAAATACTATGCAAGTATGAAATATAATGTTACGTGGAATTACGAAAAATCCTAATCAAAATCAATTTTGCTTTGCATTTTCAAACATAACACTGAAAAGCGGTTTTCCTTTTGTTTTTTTTGCTTTTCTTATAAAGTTACAGGTATACGTGTTCCATAGATAGCCTGAACATCAAAGGAACTGACCTCATCAAATGCTTCAAAAATCTCAATACTTGGCTGATGGATGGTGCACACCACGGTTCTTCCGGTGTCAACAGTATTACGAACAGCTCGCATGACAATAGCTGCTGCACGAGCATCAAGTCCTGATGTAGGCTCATCCATAAAAATTATGGATGGGTTTGCTACAAGTTCCACAGCAATGGTTAAACGTTTTCTCTGTTCTGTGGATAAGCCGCTAGTACCTGGCAAACCTACAATAGCATTCCTCAGTGTATCAAGCTCGACTAACTCCATCACTTCTTCAACAAACTCCTGAGGGGAAAGAAGCATTTGATATCCAAATCACAAAGAAATTTTGGATCTCATAAAATACTACGTAAAGGAAAAAGTGAAAGAAGTCGCCCTAAATAGGACTTAAAACAATGTGGAATTCCAATTTCCAAAATAGGAGCACTGTGTGTTTATTCTCTAAATAGGAGTAATTACTAACATGTTTAGAAATACTGCCAACACATGGCAACATATGGCAGTACTTTTCAGGATGGCAGAGTAACTCTTATATAGAGAAAACAACATAGTACTCATATTTTGGAATTTTACTTTGTTTTGCTCCTATATCGGGTATTTTCCCAAAAATAATGATACAGAGAGTAAGACTATTCTGCTTGGTCTTATCATTGAAAATCTAAAGAAAAATGTAATATTATTACTTTTTACTCAAATTTACATTTATTTATATTTCTTAGTCTTTATATTTAGATCCACATATATAAAATGGTTATTAAGTAGTATCTAAATTTAATCAACTGCGTTTTAGCAATAGTTTATTTCCTCTCAATTTTTTGTCAATGTTTCCTTCCTATTATGTTTCTCTAGTATCTTCCAGATCCAAATGGACCTTATTAAAGGTATACAAGAATAGAGCACTGCCAAACCTTTCTCTGTTTATTATTCACTTCCTTGGGAAGCCTTAGATAAGAAGAAAACCAGAGGGATTCAAAAACTGTAACTTGAGGAGAATGTATATCGTTTTGTTCAACATATCCCGAAACTCTTGCAAAAGTGTGTTGTTCTTTTGGGTGACCCGATATCCTAATGTCACCTTCTATCCATCCACCAGTCTTCCTACCGGCGAGAACATCCATCAAAGTGGTTTTTCCTGCCCCACTTTCCCCCACTAATGCTGTAAGAATGCCAGGTGAGAAAACTCCACTAACATTAGACAGTAATTGCAACCTCTTTTCTGTTACACCTTGTGAGGTCATTTCCTACAAATAGAAAAAGCTTTATATTATTTTATGCTCCTATTGAAAAATAAGAGTCCAATAAGCGCAATTATTATATGAGGATACCTTTGGCATGTCGACGAAGTAATTGACCTTGTAGAAAGTCATCGTTAACGGCTGAAATGGGAGAATCATCCCTTTCTTTTTACTTACATCTTTACTGGTTATGGAATTTGAATTATTATTTCCTGCCAAATAATTCAAGACAAGTACACAATCATTTAAAGGAGTCACTTCACTCACAACCAACTGAACATAAAAACAATGGTTTTGATTTTTACCATCCTTTCTAGCTGAATTTTCTTCTGTGAATGCCTGAGATGTTCTGATTGCTGCACGGCAGAAAAAAGCCAACACAAAAATAATAAATAAAGGTAAGAGGTGATTGAGAGACAGTGATTTAAGTGTCATGCAACAGATCCCAGACTACTTACGATTAAGAAACGTCAATGCCAGTGTCACTATGATGTTGAAAAACAAGGCATAAAGAAGTAGAACACCAACTCCCAGCCAATACCAATAGCCACCTGCAGGTAAGCTGTGTGATTGCAAAAGGCTGTTTCCAAGAGTAATATTTCCTAAAGTAGTCCTCTGCAAAAGTGTCCACCATTAAAATGAATCTTAAAAGTGCTAATAATTCCATTTTATGAATTGCAGATGCCTGTATTTTCATGAAATAGAGAGTGGACCTCATTCCATCTTGTTGCCGTGAATTCATTGACAGATATTGCTCGTTGCCCGTAGGATAATGGTGATACCCAAAAAGCCCAAACCCACCATCCCTTTATCATATCTGAAAAGGGAAACAGACAAAGGATGAAAGAAATGTTTTATTTCAACAGTGATCAGTCAAAATATGATAAAGGAGAAAGTTATACTTGCCTCTAGGGATTATAAAACCACCCAATAAGAATATAGCTAGCAAGGCAGCCGAGCCAAATGTACTAGCAATAACCATATCTCGTGAAAGAGCTGCCATCGAGCGAAAGAGGCCCAATGCCATTTGATGTATGGAAAACAGGACGAACATATAGCGGAAAAACCTGGAGATATTTTAATACGGCATTAAGATAACAATTAGCCGAACAAATATATATATATATATATACATACATATATAGGGGAGGGTTCAAATACAAAGAGGTCTTCCCATGCAAAGTGAGAATTAATATTGTTCATTCATTTTCAGATCTAATGGCTCAAAATGAGCCAAAAATGCACTAAACTTGATAAAAAATGCGGTGGCAATTTCGTAAATAAATCAAAGTTTTCTGCCACCGCAAAAAAATGCAACAGAAACACGAAATTGTGCAACACGGTGAGGAAAAGGTGCAATCATCCGCACTTTGCACGGGAGCACCTCTTTTTATTTGAACTCTTCCCTATATATATATATATATATATATATATATATATATATATATATATATATATATAGAGAGAGAGAGAGAGAGAGAGAGAGAGAGAGTTTGGTTCAAATAAAAATGAGCCTTAACGTTTAAAATGAGAATTAATCTGAGCCGTCCAAATTCTCGATCTGATGCACAATTGTCCATGTCTAATGCACTGTGCATTAAAACTTATCTGATAAGGTTTAATGCATAGTGCATTAGACATGGACAATGTGCATCAGATCGAGAATTTGGATGGCTCAGATTAATTCTCATTTTACACGTTAAAGCTCATTTTTATTTGAACTCTCCCCTATATATATATATACTATCCTCCGTTCTTTAATTCTTGCAACAGTCTGACTTTCACATTTGCCAATGCACAACTTTGACTGTAATTATATTTAATTATGTATTAGTAAACATTATAAAAATTTGATATTTTGGAAATTCACATTGATAGGAATTTAATACATTTTATACGTAATAATTTGATTATGTATACTAGTAGAAAATCGTGATCAAAGTAAGGTCTGTGAATAGTGCAAAAATCACAATGATGCAAGAATTAAAGAACGGAGGAAGTATATATCAACATAATGAAGGTAATGGCTGATACCTTCCTGCACCAGGAGCAAATCCTACAGTATAGTATACAACACAAGACCATATAACTGCTTCAATTACTGAGTAAGGTATCCGTGTAACCCAGCAAGAGATAGACCAGGCCCAGGCAGGATAAAAAAGATTATCTCTTTGCTTATAGAACACTGGTAATCGGAAAATTGTAATAGGCATCTCAGAAAATCCATTGAACATCATATGCACCAGACCAAAAAACAGGCAAGAGAGGTACAGATTTGCGTTAACCAAATCAGTGGGGTGTAACCGGGTTCTTAGGAACATTGTGCAAGTCACAAATCCCACAAATGCAACCTGCAACATTATTGACAAACCGAAGACTCATATTGCAAGGCATAGTGATGTCGAAGCTATAAGCCTATAAGTAAAAATTATGAACGCCACTTTATACATGAAGGTTATGTTTTTAACCTGAAGAAGGTAAAGTATACCTGGCAAGTTCTGAAAGTGTAAAGAAATCTGTGTCTTTTAATGAGAAGCAGCTCTCTGGAAAAACATGCTTTGAAGAGCTCCCAGTTAGAAACTGCAAACCTTTTAGCACAGAGAGCTGAATGATGGGCACCATTTCCTTCATAAGGACCTGCCAGATAAGACTCCAAGGCCTGACCATATCTGGAATTTCTAAATTCTTCAGCAATTTTTGAAACTGGAATAAAAACATATGGTTTAGAATGATCAGCCCAGTATTGTGCCTGGTCCTTCCTTGAAGTCACCTGCAAAAAAAGATTAGTTACGGTTTCTTCTGCATCAGAGTGAGGAGTGAGGACATATAATAAACACACACTCTGAAGACTATACCAACAAGAACAATAACTATTATTATTATTATTATTATTATTATTATTTTAAAAGGAAATATAAAACAAATAACCTCCTGAAGAAAATCTGCAATCCCCTTGCGAGGTGGTAGTTTAAAGCCCAATGACTCAAAGAACTCAACAACACTATCTCGTGGACCATGGTACACTACATATCCTTCGGAAAGCAAAACTAGATCATCAAACATATCAAATGTCTCTGGGGCAGGCTGAAGAAGAGCCATTAAGACGGTTCCTTCCATTAGATGAACAAAATTCCGTATGCATTTCACAATATGGTATGTAGTGGAGCTATCAAGTCCGGTAGATATTTCATCCATAAACAGAGTCTTTCTTGGACCAACAATCATCTCTCCTGCATTGAAATGTCCCAATTATGGAATGATCATTCAACGCTATGAGCCTATGAGCACTGAAGAATAAAGTTTCTCCTTAACTATGGAATCATTTTTTAGGGAATTCCCCCAGGGCTGTCAGGATTTTTCTGCTGGATTTTCACAGAATCACATGAACTCATATTTAAATAAGCTCGTATATAATCCATTAGAATGACGGTGAAACTATCCTACATATATACTAAATAAAAAAGTTTGTTTAATGTAAAATATAAATATGTTATTGGGTCGTGAGATGTCAATTTGCACATTCTTTATCATATGAAAGAGTTAACTTTTAGTTGGAATTTGAATTTCCACTTGTCTGCCATTAGCACCTTAGAAAAGAATACGTAGTATAACGTACACATTGTTTAATAGTGTGCAGACACAAGTGTGGAAGGAGCAGCAAGCCTTTTGACATAGAGAAAGAAAAATAGAGAGAATGCACAAGAAAGTGGAAAACCTGTTGTAACTCTCTTCCTTTGTCCACCTGAAACACCTCTAAGCATCTCATTTCCAACTAGCGTATCTGAACAAATGTCAAGACCAAGTACTTTCAAAATATAATCTGTACACACAGTGTGTTTTCCACTGGTAACTGATGATGCCTGCGTATAAATTGCAATAAGAAGTAAATAAAGTGTATTCACAGAGATATTGTTGAATAATTATTCCCTCCATTCCAAGTTGTCCCAGTAGGGGTTTCATAGTTTAAGATAGTCTTTGCAGGAGTTGGAAACGTGGCTTTACGGGGTTCGCTTTTTGCTTACCATACACTTTTTTAAGGTGCACTATAGCAGCTTTGAGAGGTTTGTTTTTGTGTACTGTACACTCTTTGGAGGTGTACTGTACTAACTTTTTTGTGCCATTTTCAAAAAAGAAAGTGAGACTTGCAACTTGGAATAATCCTAAAATTAATGTGGGACAAGTAATATGGAAGGGAGGGAGTACTAAGTTGATCAAATATGAAACCTTCATAAATGCATCAATGTGACGATTGGGATGTATCTTTCTTTCCTTCTCTAGATACGTAAGATCTTTCATATATTCTGCATGTTTAAACCAACGTCAATGAAGAATGATAGAATAATTTCCATGACATACATAACTAAGAGCATCTCCAATGCAACAATTTTCAAGGTGCATATGTAAACCAACATCATCAAGATTTTGGATGATTAAACAACCATTTAACACATCAATTTAATTCTGTTAAATGCAGAGCATTTTAAATCCCTTATAAAACCAATATGATTTTAGTCCAGATTATCCACTGCCATATGACCCATGCTGAAGACTTCTCTGCTTCCAGAGATGGAAAAAGGTACTATGGAGTATCAAATAAAAAAGTGAAACATATAATGGAAAAATAAAATCAGTTGATGACAGTGGATGATCTCAATCTAGTATCTGCAATTTTTTTGCTGCACATAAATATTATGACAATGGTACCCAGGGGCGGAGGTAGGGGAACTGATCAGGAAAAGGTCACCCAATTTTGAAAGATGCTTGTATTTTTAGTTAAAAAATGTATTTATAAAAATTAATCTCAAAAAATTCTCTACCGGCCCACCCCAACTTTCCTTTTGCTCCTGCCTCAGCTCCTGACGGTACGAGCATTGATAATTTATACGGAGTAGTTAAGTGTTTTGGCGAAAAAACGTAATACATTAGTAAGAAAATGTTGATACGAATTACGAACCTCCTAAACTCTGGTCCGCACCCTGGAATCTGGCAGCATAATCTAGAGTTTCTCGCACAGTTAGCTCGGCGATGTGGTTATCTGTCTGACTTATGTAAGCGGAGGTTCTTTGCACGCAGAAGCTATCAAGCCCCTGGCCGTTGTATGTAATAGTCCCGCTTTTCTGAAACAAAGGTGATGCGCTCGGAAAATTAGTACACCGCGTGATTAAGCAGAATGTTTGGTTCAGAAACCGGAAGGGGCTTAAAAAATGTAAGAGTAGTGTTTTCAAGGGAGAAATTCTACTTAAAAACCGCGTGATGAAAAATGTTTTTTACTTTTTCTATTACACAAAAACCACTTATTTTATCAAGTATTATTAACTTTTAATTTTAAAAATCAGTTTTCTCTTTCCCAAAAAAAAATCACTTTTTTCTCAAACATTTTAAACTTTTCCAACTAATCATTTTTTTCCAAAATCACTTCAAAAGTGCATTTTTTAAGCAAAAACATTTGCAAACACTCCCTGAGAATTGAGAGGAGCCGGGAGGAAGGCCCTCATACATGGAACCATTTTCACTTTAAATCATTCTTACATTATTCTTAATAGGATGGAAATAGTAGTAAAATTCATATCGTAATTACTCCGTGAAAAATTCTAAAGGTACACACTTTTTTGTGTACACACTTTTTACACGTCTGTGTAAGGTTTTTTTATGTCTGTACAGACATAACGTATTTTTAAAATACGTTATGTCTGTACAGACATAAAAAAAAACCTTACACAAACATGTGTAAAAAGTGTGTACCCCAAATCCAACTCTTACTCCGTAGTCCGTACTAATTAGTAATTACCTTTAGGCTAGTATCTGTTTCGAGTTTCCCAGCTAACGCCTGAAGTAGAGTTGTCTTACCCGAACCCGGTGGTCCCAAAAGAAGTGTCATCCTGCATAGTATACAACCCGAGCAAACATTTGTGTACTCATTATTCCCTATAATAGATCAGAGGCACGGGCGGACCCAGGAAAGTCATTTTGGGGGGGCGAAAATATTTTTGGGGGGGTTCAAAATACTTTTTGGAAGAGCAAAAATCATTTTTCGTATATATATACACTAAAAAAAATTTGTTGGGGGGCGGTAGCCCCTCGGGTCTCTACTACGGTCCGCCCCTGATTATTCAGAGGGACAGCTCAAATTTGTAAAACTACGAGTTGATGAATGAAGTACACCCAACTTAACTAATACTCCATATCTCATGTTTTGTGCAACAATGTACATGGTGTAGGTATGACATGGGAGAGATAAACACGTAAAATAATTCAATGCCATATATCTGTCTTTCTTTCCAGATTTTATGTGTTTTTGATAATTTTTTCCAACAATGTCAAAACATAATGTATACATCATTTTTTGAACATTATGAAGAAAACTTATCAAAAATATATAAGACCTTTCAAATAAAGAGAGAAATATGTTATTTACTACTCTCTAATATTTATGTGTCTAAATGTGTCATCTCTCTAAGTTGTTGACGGTCATAGGAAGTACTTGGACTCATGGGCGGCCCCATAAAATTTAGATTTGGCTGGGCCTTTTCTATGGGCGGCCCCATAGAAAGACTACAATTGGAACAACTTTTATAATAATCTTTTTACACGCTTTGACGCAAAAAAAAAAAAAAAAAAAAAAAAAAAAACTACCAAACTAGGGTGGAACACAGTCTACATCCATATATAGATGTGGTAGCTTAGTCATGCATGTATCAATTGCATACGTTGCAATTAACTACCAATCTACCATATCATTAGATTGTGTAAGAGGGAATATATATGATCACTAATTAAGAAAAAGAGCATCTCTACAAGTTAGCTAGCTAGTTTACCTTCCAGGTTTGATGACACCACTTATGTTGTTCAAGATGGTTAGTTTGTGCCTCTTTGGTCGAAAGACTCGTATTCCTCTTAACATGCTCTACAGAGTATACAATAAACTCATTATCGTCATTGACAGGCTAGATGATTTGACTATAACGAGAAAATGGGTGGCCATGCTAACAAGAAAATTGGTATTTTTGGCCAAAAAAACCAATGGAATTTTAGCCGCCACGCGGTTAGGAGTTTTAGTCCAGAAATTTGAATAATTTACCGATTGAAACATTTATATATTATTATGGTATTAACTATGTATTATTTCATTTAAGAGTTAAAGTAGCAAAATCTAATAATACCTCCATTTTACCTGGCCGACCATACATATCCACATAAACACTTAATTAATTACCTCGAGTGTGTCACGAACACAGTTGATTAAAGTTGGCAAAGCTCTTGAACCAATTTGAACATCTGCTCTTATTGTGACATCCTGATAACGAACTTCAACCTTCGGCACGCCCAATCCCACTCTTTTGGGGATGCAATTCAAAACGAACAATGTATATGATTAATAACTCAATTGAATTACATGAATGAACTAAAATTACACTAACTCAACGTCCAAATTAAAAGTTTAAATTAATAATATCATACGAAGTATCAATAAGGTTTTCATCACATTAATTACATGCATGATAATAGATTGATGAAACTTCAAACTATTACCGTAGCTTAGCCAGTTTCATTTAGTCATACATAGACACACTACTAAATTACTATTGAATCTAGAATTGAGCAGAGATAGATCAGAGTAAAAGCTACCTAATTACAGTAAATTATTATAACCTACCGGTCGAGGCGATCTTTGATGGCGGCAAGGAGCTTGTAATTATCCTGTTCAGAAGTCGCCAAGGCTTGCTTGACCACTAGCTCGCGTGCGGCGCGATCAAGCTTCCGCACATCGACGGCCTCGGTGATCTCCCTTCCGGCGGCTGTTTGCGACGCCGCCGCGCGATTCAATAGCGCGAAATTCCGGCGTTTCCGGGACGGCAACCTCTCCAGCGCCGCCCACATCAGTTCCTCCTCGTCACACGTGTACTCGAAATTCGACAGTCTCGGGAAGTTGTTATCCATCTGCGCCTCCAAATCGCCGGAGAAAAACTCTATCCCGTTCGAAGCGGCCATTATCAACAGAGATTTGGCTTTCTCTGTGATTTATGAAGGTTTATTTGCTGTATATCTGCGTGATTAAATAAATCTGGAACAGATTCAGTTTAGCTGGAATTCCTTCACTTCCAGATTTTTCTCTTTCTCTCTCTGACGCTGGCTGGTATTGATTTTTTCGCTTACACGGGGTAATGAACTAATAACATTTCGGGCTCGGCGATAAGGCCGCGAACTTTTGAAAAACTGAAATGTCATTATTGTTCAGGATTCTGTTGCGGTAGAGAATGCGGGTAGGCGGTACGATGGGGGCAAAATGGACATTTGGTCAGCGCATGTTTTGCCCTCTTCTCGCGGGAGGGAAGTCGTGTAAATGCACACGTGAGATATTCTAGAAACACCAAATGCCATATCTTCCACATGACCGAAACCATATTACCATTTTTAAGGAACGTTTTTCTTTTCCTTCTCTGTACGTATACGGAGTATATATGTTTGTTTACTTATTTAGCTTTAATAATATCATCAAGTACAAGTGCATTGAATGGAGAAATTCAATTATATCATCTCAAAATTCTAATATAAGAGCAAAAAATGTTTTGAAATTTCGAATATAGTATTTTTGTTTTCTGAATGTAATTTTTTATATATTTAGGACAATTTCTTTTATAGCATTGATATAGACATAATTGAGTCTTGAGAATTTACCCATTGACTTAAAAAAAAATATACTCTGTATATGCTATTTATAGGCGTGGAATTAATATAATGAAAACTAACTTCTTCAACAATTTTATTGGCAATCGATCAACGTACAATTTTAAAAATGAAAATAAAAGCATACGTAGGTAGTTCATTGAATATAATTGAAATTATCATTTACATTTTGATGGTTCAAAAGTACGTGTGTGCTACTGACTATATAGACAAACTCAACAGTGCATCCCACGTGGCAATTTAAGGGGTCAAATAAGACCCGAATCCTAACCGAGTTGTTTAATTTACCCCATCAATAGTTAAAAGTGTCAAAATTGCTATTAAAAATAAGAAATTAAAAAAAAAATAGAAAATAAAATACAAGTTCATAATATAAAATATAGATGCCTATTTATAATATAATAAAGAAATATTTATATTTTGCGATAAATTCAATATATATAAAATATAATTAAAATAAATTATTTTTAAATACAAAATATAAAAATGTAATAACTATTTTCATTATATACTTTTTATACAGTATAAATTTCTTTATGGTGTCTATAGTTAGTATGTACTTATGTAGTATAGTATATAATTCTAGAATAAAATAATAGGAAGTATATATACATATATGCATGTGTGTGTAATTTTACATATAAATCTAAAACATATTTAAAATATTTAAAAATATCAAATGAAAAATGGAAGTAAAATATAAACATAATATAAATTGTAAAAATAGAAAACCTAAAAAAAAATTATAATACCAATTGTTACATACGGAGTATAATATAATACACAAAATACAAATTTAATTTTAATTTGTAAAAACATGTACTGTTTTTAAAAATAGATTTAAAATATCAAAATAATTTTAATGAATATCTCTTAGTTTTTTAATGAATTTACTACGAATGTAAATATATCCTTATTATATTATTTAATAGATGTCTATGTTTTATACTTTCGACTTGTATTTTATTTTATATTTTTATTTTCTATTTTTTAAATTAGTACTTATTTTGCAAATCTTACACTTTTTAAAGGTTGAGGGAACAAATTGAACAATTTTATCGGGTTCAGGGGCCTATTTGTAGAAGAGAATGTTGTTGGTACACATATTTTATACACATTTTATACACACCCCCTAGTTGTTTGTCTATACGGAGAATTCGTTCAGAAGTTACATTGTAGATAGACAATTTGGAGAGAAGATGTACAAAAAGTGTACAAAATATGTGTACACCGAGAATAGTTCAAAAGAGAAATCCATGACTCCTTTTTTATTGGATAAAATGTGTGTGTGTCTATATATATATATATATATATATATATATATATATATATATATATATATATATATATATATATATATATATATATATATATATATCCAAAAAATAGTATAATACAATGCATCAAAAAAACCTATCGAAACTAGCAAACTAACCTAAAGCATAATCTATCGTATCCGCCCTCCCCCCTCCCCCACCTTGCGGCAAGGGTGAGGAGAGACGAATTTTAGAAGTCCAAAAACATCACA